GAAGATACTGGAGCGGTTTGCCATTTCCTCTCCAGTTCATTTTATACATGAGGAAACTGAGGCAAACAGGATTAAGTGACTTGCCTAGGGTCACATGGTGAGTTAAGTATTTGAGGCAGGACTTCAATTCAGAAGATGAGTCTTCCTGACTCCAGGCCCAGCACTCTATCCACTGTGCCACCTAGCTGCCCTAAATCACTACTGCCTCTACCCTTTCTTTACTTCTTCTCTGCCAAGTCCACCCCTCTCCTCTAGGTCTTTTCTTTTAAATGAACTGTTACCAAATCACATACATGTGTGCACACACATATATCCTGTAGTTGTGCAGTTGATTTTTTATTTATTTATTTATTTTGGTGGATGGTATTTTATTTTTTTCCAAATGCATATAAAGATAGTTTTCAACATTCATTTTTTTTACAAGATTTTGAGTTTCAAGTTTTTTTATTCCCTCCCTCCCATTCCTCCCTTACCAAGATGGAAAGCAACCTGATATAGGTTACACATGTGCAGTCTTGTAAACATATTTCCACATTAGTCACATTGTGAATGAAGAAACAGAACAGAAGGGGAAAGCCATAGCCCCCCTCTCCACCAAAAAAAAAAAAGTGAAAATAGTATGCTTTAATCTACAGCCATAGTTCTTTCTCTGGATGTGAATAGCATTTTCCATCACGAGTCATTTGGAATTGTCTTGACAATTGTATTGCTGAGAAGAGGTAAATCTATCACAGCTGATCATTCAACAACGTTGCTGTTACTGTGTACAATGTTCCCTTGGTTCTGCTCACTTCATTCATTATCAGTTCATGTAAATCTTTCCAGGTTTTTCTGAAATTTACCTGCTCATCATTTCTGCAGTTGATTTTTTAACCCCAGTACAGAACTTTACATTTATTTCCATTTAAAATGTTATCATGCTTTCAAATGGTTCCTCCTATTGGTTTTAATTTTTACTTACAACTTAACTAATGTGAAAATATGTTTAATAGGAATGTAAATGTATAGCCTATATGAGATTGTGTGCCGTCTTGGGGAGGGTGGTGGGGAGGAAGGGGGAGAAAAATTTTAAACTCAAAAGCATATGGAAGTGATTGTTGATAAATCAAAATAAAAAAATGTTATCATGGATGAATGATAACTAAATGAAAAAAGCATTCATTAGGTACTTACTATGTGGTAAGCACTTTGCCTTTAGGGATATAATCACTGAGAATAATAAGACAACTCCTTGCTCGCAAGGCATTTATATTATAATATAAAAGGGAAGACAATGCATATATGAGAATAATGACCTTAGAGACCCCTGTCTGGGTAACCACAGGGATGGTGAGTGAATTCCTTGACCAGGGGTGGGGCACCTGCAGCCTCAAGGCCACATGTAGCCCTCTAGGTCCTCAAGTATGGCCCTTTGACTGAATCCAGGATTTGTTCTGTGAAATTTGGATTTGAAGCCTCAAGGCTGCAGGTTACCCACCCCTGATCTAGTTCAACCACCTAATTTTATCGATGAGGGAACCAAGGCCCAGATCCACGACATATTCCACTATACCAACCCTACCTCCTGGATGAAAGTGATGTTTCAGAAAGATGAGTCTGGTGAGATAAAAAATGGTTTGAGGCAAGAAGAGACTAGAAGCATGGAGCCAACCCAGTTAGGAGGCATTTGAACTCCCACATCAGGTCTTGTGATGATGAGAATAGAAATAATAATAATAACAATGCTACTAATAATAATTCACCTTTACATAGAGTTTTAAGTTTGGCCAAGTGCTTTTCTTGATTTATTCTGGGGAAAAGGCAGTGAAAGTATTATCTCCATTTTACAGAGAAGGAAATTGAGGTTTGTGAAAGATAAGTGACTTTTACCCACCGTCACACAAATAGTCAAGGGAGAATTGGAACCCCAGTCTGCTGACTCTAAATCTAGCACTCTTTCCCACATATTCTGCTGTCTTTTCAATGGAAGTCCAATGTAAGACATGGCATCCAATGCCCCATTCTGTGTCCCTAAAGAAGGTGCCTAGATCACTATCATTAAGGTATTCTTGCAGTATTCTAAATGCCCTTCTCTCCTAAAATTGACATAGACCCTGGATGCTCTACACAAAACATTTTATTTTTAGTGTGAAACTATCAGTTCATCAAAATACATTAGAAAAACCACTGCTTTCCCCAACACATGACTTTCTAATTCCTGTCTTTGGCCCTCAGATGCTCTTTTACAATCTTTGCCCATCAGTTCCTCAAGATTCCTCTCCTCCAGGAAGTGTTTCTAGATTGACCTGGCTGAGCTCTGGTTGAGCTCCCTTTTATTCTGTATTACTTCAACATTTATATATTCATGGGATTTAGAGCTTGGAGGCAACTAATCTGATATACAGGGCAGCTAGTGGACAGAGCGCTGGGCCTGGAGTCAGGAAGACTCATCTTCCTGAGTTCAAATCTAGCCTCAGACACTTACTAGCTGTGTGACCCTGGGCAAGTCACTTAACCCTGTTTGCCTTAGTTTCCTCATCTGTAAAATGCACTGCAGGAGGAAATAGGAAAACTACTCCAGTATCTTTGTCAAGAAAACTCCAAATGGGGTCACAAAGAGTCAAACACAAGTGAACAACAACAACATGATATACTGTGCTCGTTTTACAAATGGTGAAATTGAATTTCAGAGAAAGTAAATGACTAGTTTAGTACATCATATAGCTACTAGTAGCAAATGTCACATTCAGGATTGGAACCCAGGCCTTCTGACTCTTCATTTAATGCTAATGGGATAACAGGCTTTAGAGCATGAAGGATACTTAGAAGCCATTTAATCCAACTTCCAATATTTTTCCTTCCTTTAAAATAAATAAATGTCATTTTTTATGTTAAAAACAAAGAAACTGAGCCCTCAGAGAGAAATGACTTGCCCCAAAGTGGTAAAGTGAGATTTAAATTCAGGTCTTCTGATTTTAAATCCATTGCTCTTTTCATACATTATGTTGCCTCCTATTCACTTGTATCCTATTATTTTGTATTTAGAAAAGTCAGCATGAAGTGGAAGTGACTGTGTGCTCAAAGCTTCTGTCGGTGGAAGGCAATTTCTGGCAGGTTCTAACAAGCTGGAAAGACTTTGGGTCTCTGGGCCCATCCATAACATTGTTTCTAGTTTGAGTATCAGTCTAAGATTGGAGAGGCTTATTACCAACCAGTTGTCTACCAAGTTACGAAATGTTTTGGCTGTGGCAACTGCTGAAACTATGACCTAAGGTGTAGTGGCCAGACCAGCAATGTCACAAACTTTTTAAAGTCTTTCTTTTTTTTTCTTCCTTCCTTCCTTCCTTCCTTCCTTCCTTCCTTCCTTCCTTCCTTCCTTCCTTCCTTCCTTCCTTCCTTCCTTCTTTCTTCTTTCCTTCCTTCCTTTTTCTTCATTCCTTCCTTCCTCTCTTTTTCTTTTTCTCTCTCTGCCTCTTTTTCTCTTTCTCCTCTCTCCCCTTCCTTCCTTCCTTCCTTCCTTTCTTTCTTTCTTTCTTTCTTTCTTTCTTTCTTTCTTTCTTTCTTTCTTTCTTTCTTTCTTTCTTTCTTTCTTTCTTTCCTTTCTCTCTCTTTCTCTCTCTTTTCTTCCTTCTTACCTTCTTTCCTTTCTTTCCTTCTTTATTTTTCAAACTAGACTTGTGATTTTACTCCTGTAGGGAATTCCTGGTGAGGAGCTGCTTCTGCTGATGCAGAACACTACCTCTGTGACCTACAGCCTTAGAGTGGTACCTTAGGAGCACTAAGAGGTTAAGTGACTTGCCCAGGGTCATACAGCCAGTAAGGATCAAAGGAGTCATTCTGACTCCAAGGCCATCTCTCTCTATCCACTATACCACACTACTCACTGAAGTATGTTGCTCTGTAATTATCTTCAAAATAAAGTGGGGTGGGAGGGGGTGAGGCATCTTTTATATTCCCTAAGCAGATTGCATATTGTCCCAGAATAGAGATAGTCTTGCCTAATTCATTTCTGTTCCCATCACAGTATCTGGACACAGAGCGGATGCTCAGTAAATGATGGTTTATTACTTTTTTTCAGCTTTCTTTTAATCCTGCTAACCTCTCTTTGCCCAATTAAACTAGAAGGAAAAGGCTCATTTCTCCCTTCAGTAATGCTGTTGTCATCTGATAGCCTTGTGAACACTCTCATAAAATAATACTTTCATCTAACACTTAACTGCTCAAATACTCTATAAAAAGGAAAAGAGAAGCTAGTCCCAGAACCAGATAAACAATACACACAATGACAATAACAATGCAAATGAAAAGAAAAGCAACACCAAAAAGAAACTGAATGCCTCAAAGTTGGCTCTGAGGAAGAAATGTGCATTATACCTCACTACTTTCTCTGTAGAAGTGGGGGACTACCAGTGTGGAACTCTGCATATACTGTTGGACTTAGCTGGCGTTGGTTAGTTTTACTGAAGCGTTCTTCTTTGCTGTAGAGAGTCTCTGGGAGGGAGGGGGAGGAGGGATGAATTGGAAAACAAAGGCAGTGCAAAACCAAAAGATGTCAATATTTTTGTTTAAAAGAGGAGTTAGTCCAGAGTAGCGATACTGCATGTCAAAGAGAACGTAATTAAAAGCAGATACCGCTGGGAGGAAAACACATCTGTGATTGCTAGACTTCAGAAAGCTGTCTGACAGGAACTCTAGAAAGTGGTTCAGATTTCCTGGACAGAACATTTCCAGCGTATATTTTTTGTTGTTGAATTGTTTCAGTTGTAACCTCCTGATGAAAACAATAATCTTAGGGACAGGAAGGGAAAATCACAAGATCTAGAGGCAGGTAGCAACAATCTCATTTACTTCCAGTGCCATCACCCGGACCCCACTTAAATCATCCCAAATGACTGGAAATTATTTTAGCTGTCAAGATCTTGCCAGGATGAGCCTCCAGAGACCCCTCTTTTCCATCATCTCAACTGCTTGTCATTTGCACCGTTTCAAAGGCCAAGTACCACAAACAACATAATACTCACGTCAGAGTCCAGCAAGCCTCCTCTGAAAAGAAAAGAACCACCCCGTCCTCTGCATCAGATTCTTCTCTGGCTACCATCCAGTTTCTTAAAAAACTTGTAGCTGAAGAAGGAAGGGAGGGAAAGGGTACAAAAACCTTTATAAGTATGAAGGTTAAGGTCTCTCACATAGCATGCAAGTGGGTGTTCCTACTCCTACTAGGCTTGAGACAAGAATGTACTAAAAAAAAAAAAATTAAAACTCAGAACTGCCCCTTTACCACCAGACCCAACCTCTTTTTATTTCACTTTCATACTGAAAGCAACTGTGCTGAGAGTGCAAAGACCAAAAAAAAAAAAAGGAAGGAAGGAAAGAAGAAAAAAAAGAGAAAAAGAAACAGTTCCTGCCCCTTAAGGAGCGTGCATTCAACTGCAGGGATACAGAGTATATAAAGAAATTTTAGAGAAGGATCAAGAACTAACAACTGGGGGAATTTGATTAAGAAGGACCTTTGGGAGCTTGTCCACTTGTAGGGAGTTGGCGTGAGGTCTCTGCTTTTCCCTTGATGGCTATGTCTGACTGCAGTCAGTGGTGAAGCAAGGTACAGCTGTGGATGATGAGATTTAAAGTTGAATGGACCTTTGGAGGCGATCCTCCTCCTCTCAACACAATAGAATCGTAGATTTCAAGCTGGGAGGAACCACAGATGTTATCTAGACCCAACCCTCTCATTTTACAGTTGAGGAAACTGAGACTCAGAAAGGCTGAGTGATTTTCCCAAGGTCACACAGGTAGTAAGTGGCAGCACTGGGATTTGAACCCAGGCTTACTGCCTCCAAATCCAGAATACTCTTTTCATTTTGCTGTGATACCTCCCAGCAAATGAGGAAATTGAAGCTCAGAAGTAACTTACCTACAGTTAGTCGTTAATAAGCTTTTATCAAGTGCCTACTGCGTGCCAGGCACTGTGCTAAGTGGTGAGGACACAAAGAAAGGTAAAAGATGGTCCTTGCTTTATTTACCATCATGGCTAAAGCAAATACCTGGGTTTGAGACATCTACAAAATTGGTACTCAGGAAAATGATACACTCATGAGCTTCGTTTTTATGTGACACAGTAAATAGGAAAAAAGCATATAAATCCTATGGCAACATAAACAGAGGTTTGTCCCCACATGCAAGAAACTCCCCAGCCAGAAGGAAGGAATATGTGTTGGGGAAGGAACACACTCAGAGTTGGGGTTTAGGTGGTAAGATTATATACCTTAAGAATGGACTTGGTTAACAGTAGGCAATCAGTGTCAGATGTAGGAGAGGGCATTCCTTAATCAGACCCAAATGTGGCGGAAAATTTCTTGGGGTTCCTTATTGATACTAGTTTTGGGTGAAGCTCTGGTAGAAGGAATTTCTTTATCAAGACTGCAAACTGGTGGGAGGATCTAACATTAACCAAGGCAGCAGAAAGAGAATGACTCAAGGCCCCTGCAGCAGGTCAAGAATTAGTCTCATCAAAAACTTCAAATCTTTCGAACAGTTAACAGTGGAAAAGTACAAACTGTTTTGCCTTTATGGGCATTAGGACCACTTAGCCTAAGTAACTCCATATTGGAACCTTGTAATTATAATGACATCAGACTATAATTAAGACATCAAATAATGGAAAGTTTATAATTATCACAGTCCTTGACCTCCAGGAGCTTACAGTCAAATGCAGATGACACAAAGATAATCAGCAGAGGGAAGGCACTAATATGAACGGTGATTGAAAAAGGCTTCTTGCAGCAGGTACAAGTCACACAGTTAATAGGTAGTGAATTTAGATCCTCTGACTTCATATGCAGCACCCTTTTCTCTTTCTTTTTTTAAGGCAATTGGGGTTAAGTGACTTGCCCAGGGTCACACAGCTAGTAAGGGTCAAATGTTTGGTCTGAGGCCGGATTTGAACTCAGGTCCTCCTGACTTCAGGGCCGGTGCTCTATCCACTGCACCCCCTAGCTGCCCCAGCACCCTTTTCAGTACACCAGATTGTTTCTCATATTGTAGTTTATATGCTCTTTGCCTCCTTGATGGGGTAGAATATAGAGGTAAGACCCCAAATAAGCAAGTATGCTTCATCAGTGATGGTGCCTTTCATCTTACTTATTACTCTCTAAGACTCACTATCTCCCCTCCCTGCTCTTCACTTTCCTCTTTGTAAACTCCTCCTCCAACTTCTACCTATTCCTTTTCTCTTCTCTCAATCCTGTTTCCTTACATCCTGTTCCCAGCTTTACCTCAATTCTTCCCTTCCTGAGAAGCAGTGTATTCATTGAAGGCAGAAAAAGCCCTAGACAGAGAGTAAGAGAGAGAGAGAGAGACAGAGAGAGTCAGAGAGAGAGACAGAGAGACAGAGATAGACAGAGACAGAGAAACACAGAAAGAGGACTTGTGTTTGAATCCCTGATATATTTATCACCTCAGTGACAATGGCCAAGTCACTTCATTTCTCTCTTCATAGTTTCCTCATCTGTGAAGTGGGGGATTTGACTAGATAATTTCTAAAGTCCCTTCCGTCTCTAGTTTTATGAAATGATGTCATGGCTCGGTACATTTTGGAGGGATTTTCTTCCTCTTTTGTCTCATAGCTCCCACCCAGAAACCCTGAGTCACTGTCTGGATGGTACCCCTATACTGTACAGTACTATACTATCCTAGTGTTCTTATTTGTCCTCAGTTTTTGAAGAGGACCAATTACACCATGGGGTGACTTCTTGACATGTGCATAAATTGTATTTAGGTGAGGCAGAGTTGTGCAAAATCATCAGCCTCACTCTCTCTTCTAGAGTCAAAGAAGTCCAGTGGCAGGACAAAAGTCAAGACAACTGGTGATGGCCCGGGATGCAGTGGATGACCTTGGCAGCTTCAAGTCTGACCAAGCTCTCACAGTTCCAGTGTGCTTCAGCCGCCTTCGTGGCCATTGGAACACATTGTTCTCATCTGACCATTCTGCTGAGACAAGTCTTTACATGCTTGGGATAGACATTCTCCTAACTCATTGATGGGTTTGAGGACTTTCAGTTACCCTCCACCTAGTTTAGTACATTTACTAAAATGGTTTTTTACCAGTGTATGGCTGCTGAGCATGCTATAGCTTCTTGGAGCTACAAATGAGGGTTAGGTGACAGGTGGATACCAAAGGTGGATGAACAGCCCTGAAAAGGGCTCAGCAAGCCCTCACACCAGAGGTGTCCTAAATACCCTATATACCCCAATCTTTCCTGGCACACTGAGACTGACTCTACTCTTAAGTACACATTAAGAATGTTATAGAATAAGGAGAACAAAAAAGAAGGACCATTATAGTCCAAGGATGTAAGTAAATCCTCTGATTCCCTTGTAGTCTGGAAAATTAGGTCTGCTTTTGGTGGAAATTTCTTCCTCAGTAAGTCCTTTCTTAGACTTGGCAATACCCTGTTGCTCCTTTGGGGTAACATTTCTCTCATTTGATGGCCACACACACACACACACACACACACACACACACACACACACACACGGACACCCTTGCCTAACCTTCCTGCCAGTTAACAATAGTTTCATAGCATAGCCGGCCAATCAATTTCTCAAACCAGGCTGGGGCCAGTCTTTTAGCATACTCCAATCATTCTATCCTCTCCTCAAGTTCCATATTGGGGAGGGGAGGGGAATCAACCCCTCCAGAGTTCTCTTCTCCCATTGTTTTTTACCACTCTTTTTCTGTAGTTGACCTTTCTCCTTTTCCCAGCTTATTTGGTTTCTCCCAATTGTGAGTCCCACTCATCATTATTCATAGACCTTTGAGCCAACAAACTTAATTTTTTCTAAGTTATTCAAACTGGAGAGGGAAGGGAAAAGGGCAGAGAGCCCAGCATTTGCTGGATCCTCAGAATTAGTCTGTATTTCCAGGAGTTCTCTAGACTACTTAACATCAAACTCAAATAGAAACGGGATAGGTGCCTAAACCATACATACATAAGGATCCCTGCAGCTTGCATTTTGACTTAGTTTTAAAATGTAATATTGGCTATATTTAACTGCATTTTTATTTATTTTGTTAAACATTTCTCAGTTATGTTTCAGTCTGGTTCCTGCCACACTGAAGAGTGTTGAGGGCTTGCATGAAGTCCGCTTGACACTTCTGCTCTGGAGCAGGCGGGACCTAGAAAGGGACAGACTGCCTAGAACAATTTCAAATTGAAGAAGGTGGAGAAAAGAACCATGATACTGGGAAAACACAAGTGGATTTGGTGTAGGGATTCAAATTCTTGCTTGGCCGGTGTAACTGTGGTGCAAACAAAATGATCTTTGAGTCTTAATTTCCATACATATATATATATATATATATATATATATATATATATATATATATATATATATATATATATATATGTATATATATATATATGTATATATATATACATATATATATATATGTATATATATGTATATATATATATATACATATATATATATGTATATATATGTATGTATATGTATGTATGTATGTGTATATATTTAATTTCCATATACACACACACACACACACACACACAGATAGAAAGAGAGAGAGAGAGAGGTAGTGGGGGAGGGAGTGATAAGGGAAAATGGATCAGATTAAATGATCTCCAAGGTCCTTTTTAGTTCTAAATTCAGTGATTCCATGACCTGGTATCCCCCAGTTTAAACTCACATTCCTGATGTTTGTACAGGTATTGGATTGACCCCAGGGTTGGAGAAGCATGTGGGAGAAGATAGTAAAGCACAATAATATCTGGTCTTATTCATTCAACAAGCATCTGTTAAGCTCCTACTATGTGCCAGGCAAACTCTGAAGTTTGCAATTTGCTCAGTGCATTTGAACCTCGCAACAGTCTTGTGAGATAGATATGACACGTGTTATTTCTGTTTTACAGATGAGGACACTTACTGGGCCTCAGAGATGTTGTGGGCCAAGGAGTTAGTGGAACTGGGTTGGATTGAGTAGAACCCCTAAACTCCCACACCATCACCTTGGGCTTTTGTGAGTCAGGATGTTGTAGAGCAGATCTGGAGTAGCTTGAGTTAATTCTGCCCCCAGGAGGATTGACCTGAAACCCAGCTGTGGACCCTTTGGGAGAGGGATATATAAAGACAGCTCAAAGACTCTTGTGAGGAGGTCCTGAAACCATAGGGAGTTTCCTGCTTTTGCCTGGGAGAGTTGGGTGTACTAAATGTGTTTTATTAAAGGAATTAATCA